GTTTGTATTATATTAATTGCCATAATTTGATAAGATCTTAAGATCTCGGAGGCTAAGAAAGCTAGGCTTCATGGGGTTATCACTCCTTATATAAAGGAGACAAAAACAAACAAGCCTCAAAGCAAGGAAAGCCCAAAGAATTTCTTGCTCAACCTCCTCTTACACTCCTCTTTCTTTTGACGGGGTAAACACTCTCCATTATGGTTGGTTAGTTTTTTTTTGCTTCACCGCCAAGTAAAATGACTTGAAGATCTTGCTTGCTTGAAACAAGAGAGTGTGATTCCATTCGAGGGATTAGGCTATGTATCATTGATCTTTATGGTTAAAGTGTTTGAATTTGTTAGTTGTTTTCCATATTAATCTTTTTATATATTAAAACGGAAACTTGATGATGTCACCTTCAACAATCAGGACCATTCATTGGGTTTCCTTGATTCATTTCAACCCTTAGATTATTCTGCATATTTCTAATGATGTCATCCTAACAAACAATTCACTATTTATTGAAAGCTTACGAAATTCGATTGATTACGTCTGTCTGTAATAACCACTTTCCATATTGAAATCGAAAAATCAGCCAACTAATTAGCGTTTTTTGATAAGTCGATGACGATGATTGCAACATATTTGATTGACATCCTTTTTGAATCGCTTCCTCAAGGTCAGCTATTACGCCATTACATCGTCTGTTGATTAGGGTTCTATATTGTTAATCATCTTTTTATTTTGATTGATTTTCACCATGAATAATCTTAACCAACATAGTTATCGGTTGATTCTAATCATCTTCTCTCTCAAACATGGGAACTTAATAAACATTTTTTATATGTAGGTGCTTGAAGACGAAGAAAGAAGAAGAAATAAAAGAAATCCAGATTGTTGAAGAAACTTGGGAGGAGTAAGAGTGAACAAGTTATAATGCAATCCCAACAATCGACTGGTTTGACTGACCTACTGGAGACAATGAGCGTCCAGATGGAGGTACAGACTATATATTTTTTGTTTTATATATACATTGTGTCATTGATTTTAGATCTCAATCTTAGTATAATGTACATAATCATGTAACCAAACTCAGCAGGATATCTTTCATCAAAGATCTTATAGAACATATACCACTCAATTGTAGAACATGTGGTTATAAGATGTAAAGTTCTAAAAGATTTAAGTCATACATATGGAAGTGTGAATGTTACAAAATAGACATCTGGTCAATGAACTTGGTAAGACAGATTCTTTACATAAGGTGGTAAAAGAGACAAGTGAGACCCTTCTCTCTCTGTTTTTGTTTCATAGCTTTATCGTATTATTCATGGGCGTGTATAAGTAATTTTTCAACTTTAACTAATATTGATGCAAGATGTTTCCAATGTTGTGTTAGTTCAGTTGAATATGTTGGATGAAGGACTTGTGAATCACCTAGTTGTGGGATTTGGAGAATCTGGTCGCAAAGCAAGTGAAATGAGGATTCTATTGGCAAGAATTGAAGAATCTGAGGCTAGTTGTTGGGAGGTACACATGGTTTAAAAATGAGATGTTTTTAGTTTTTACATATGTTATTCTATGCTCTATTGCTCTTACTCTATCATTTTTTAAAATTTGTCTTATTTCAGTTATTTGCACCTTCTGTGGGTAAACTTCAACACATAGAATGTTTGAGATCTCTAAGGGAGATTGTCATTGCACTTACAGAGAGGTCAGCTCGTGGTGACTTAACTATTGAAGTATTTCATTGGGAAAATTGTCACAACTGGGAAATTTTAGACCCAGCAAAGTCTAAACCCTAACCAAGTACTAGTGAAAACCACATTGAAATCTTTGTTGCATTGTATCCCCTATTGCCTTAAGGGCAAGTTTATGAGCTAGTAACTAAGCATGGTTTGAAACCTAAGTTGATTTATGTTAGTATAACTTAACATAAGGTAAAAGACTAAGGTTTAAATCACAAAATAAACCCCACATTGGAGATTTCGGTCTAAAGAATATAATGAAAAGTTGTTTACGACCAAGGAAAGTAACACCAAAAGAGCTCACGGTCTAGATTCCTAGAAACAATGGAGTTTGCGGCCATACTAATGAAATCAAGGGAATTTTCGGTCATAGTATGACCGAAAACACAAAGTTATGGCCCATTAGGACCGAAAACATAATAGCCCAAGACTTTTAAGGCCGTAAACACACACATATATATATATATATATATATATATATATATATATATATATATATATATATATATATATATATATATATATATATATGTACAACCGTGAACCCAATTCATTTCTCACATTTCACACCGCAAACACTCCCACTTTTGGTCTCAAGTATCATCCGTAAACCCCATAGATTCATAGGAATCTTGCCCATATCTTCTTATTTCCACCAAGAACACCAAGAACATTCATTTATATCTTCAAATCTTCAAGCCTCCAACCGAAAACACTCAAGCCCTCACCGAAAACTACATTTGTGCACCGAAAACGTCCAGAATTATTCCAAATGTGTAACATCCATAAAAATCATGCCAAATTTAAACTTTTTAAACATTTCAAAACCCATGATTATTACAAAACTTGTTTTCAAAATAGTATATAGTCAGAGTATCCCAGAATCAAATCATAAAATCATAAAGTGTGAGGAGCGGTACGATCATGCCTTCGCCTTCCCGCGATCATCAAAAGTACCTGAAACAATAATCGATAAATGTAAGCTCGAAGGCTTAGTGAGTTACCCCCAAAATACCAACGACATAAACATATCAATAACATATAATAAACAGCATGCATAATGAGCCATCAGCCTGACTGGTCCGTCTCGCAGGCCTTCAGCCTATCTGGACCGCTCTCCGAGCCTTTGACACGTTTGGACAGCCTTGCAGCGCCTACAGCCTATCCGGACCGCTCGCCAAGCCTTCGGTCTGACTGACATGCCCTCCTGGGCCTGTAGTCTATCCAGACCGCCCTGGGTATGTTGTCCTTCAGCACAAAGCAGGTCCGCCTCAACTCATGTGACAACCCGAAATCTTTATCTATAAGTCAAATTCAATCAATAAAAGTCAGACTTGTTTCTGCTATCGCTTTATTGTGTTCAGGGTCAGTTTGAGAGTCTTTAAGCCTAGTACACTTAAGAGTTGGATGTTGAGAAGTGTTAGCTTGGGATTAGAGGAATGCAATCGAACCAGAAAACTCTTCAAAGGGTGTTCACGGCCGCAAACTAGGTTCACGGCCGTGAACCCATGTTGGGCCGTGAACCCCTCCCCATATATATATATATATATATATATATATATATATATATATATATATATATATATATATATATATATATATATATATATATATATATATACTAGCCGTCTACCCGCGCCAAGCGACGGGTGCGAATAGTTTTTACGGAAATTAGTTTCTAGAGGCGATTTGTTTTTTGGACTTCAAATATAAGTATGTTTTTGTTTTGATTTAAAATTATATGTATCTTCCTATTTTGGGTTAAAACTACTTTTCTTGATTAAAAAAGAAAAGTTCATTGTGTTATTAAGTAAATTGTTTTCTTTATGCGAATCGTTTTCATCAATTAGTGCTATCAAATTGGGGTGTCATGTCGTGTTTTTGTCTGATATCACACAACGTGATAACTTGTTTTTTTACATTGACACAAAACGAACCAATTAAAATATGACAAACATGACACAACACGGTAATAATAACATAAAATAACCAATTGAAATAGCGTTATTAAGAGTTATGCTAACTAATACAAAATCAAAAAAAATTAAAAATGAAAAGTTTTGATTCTTTACAAATGAAAATGAAAACATGATTGATTGTGCATTATTGATCATGCAACACTTCTTTATACACCACATTTACAGTACAGACTCCACTACCGTTGAATTGTTCATCTGGGATCACTAATACTTTTGTATTCCCACGTGATACCCCTCTGGATAATGCCACATAAAGCTGTCCGTGTGAGAAAACCGATTCTGGAAGATAAATTCCTACATTTGGAATTGTTTGTCCCTGGGCCTTATTGATTGTCATTGTGAAACATAATCGGATTGGAAACTGTTTTCTCTTTAGCTTGAACGGGAACATGTCATCTTCAGACGGACATAGAGGAATCCTTGGCAAAAAAACTCTCTTTCCAGCATGCTGACCAACAGCTATTTCAGCATCTATTACATTTTGTTGAAAACCTTTACATGTCAACCGGGTGCCGTTACACAATCCATTTGATGGGTCGAGATTCCGTAACAGTATTATCGGGCATCCAACTTTCAGTCGTAGGTAATGAGGGGGTAAACCACTAACACTGAGTGTGTTCAAGAATTCCACAGGATATAAGTTATTTATATCGTCTTCAGCTTCATCAAAACTGTAGTAAATTTTCTCTTCTATATGGAATCGGCCGATGAATAAATCATTAATCTCATCGATACTGTCATTTCTTGTGGATAATATTGCACGCGAAAAATATAATCGGTTTGAGATCTATTAATTTCCAAGGATGGAAAGATTGCATCAATCAAAGCATTCAATGACTTTTCTTTTTTAGTGAAGGGAATTACCATATCATCGGGGATGCGAATAAAGTTTCCATGCACTGTTTCTTCAACTCCATCACCGACACGTAAAAGAAAGTCTGAGAACCATGGATCGGTTAGTACTCTCATATTTATAGTTAACCGCAACTTGATAATCGAAGACCACAGAGGCGACATTCGTATGCTAGAATCCACAGCCTGTGCTCGTGTTCCACGTCTAACGACAGGCAAAACCTGTCTGAAATCACCTCCCAAAACCATTATCTTTCCACCAAATGGGAGCATCACCCCAGTGATATCTTTCATTGTTCGGTCAACCGCCTCCAACGCATGTCTTTTAGCCATCGACGCTTCATCCCATATGATTACTTTTGCAGTCCAAAGCAGTTGAGCAGTGCCACTTTGTCTTGAAATCTTGCAGACCGAGTTATTTTCCAGATTAATAGGAAGTTTAAAGCGAGAGTGAGCTGTTCTTCCCCCAAGGCATGTTATTAGCCGCAACACCCGATGAAGCGGTCGCCAGTGCAATATGACCACACGAACGGATATTAGCAAGTAAAGCTTTGTACAAAAATGTTTTTCCTGTTCCACCGGGACCGTCTATGAAGAAAACTCCTGGAATATTACTATGGACATGCCGCATTATCTCATCATACGCAAATTTTTGTTCAGGATTGAGAAAATCTCGGGCTTGTAAATGTTCCGATTCTAAAACAATAGAGCATTCCTCTTGTACCTCACGAAAAACTCCAAATTCTAAATCGACATTTTCATTTATCTTTGGAAGATCAAAACAATCAATGTTGTCACTCATAGATTGTAGGAATATCTTGATGTCGGTGAGAACCATATTTTGGACTCTCTCAATACTTCCATATTGTCGCCTATAATCTTCCGAAAGATCATTGTAGTGGTCATCCCATATCTTACGAACATCTCCTGGCTCACAAAAAGTCAATATCGTTGCAAACATCCTTCTAAGAGCAATAGGAGCTTGAAATAAAGATGCCTCTGTTAGATATTGTGATAAACCATCATCAGACTCTATTAACCCTCTTTCAAGAGTTGCTTTCCGAAATGTTGGGTGTTGTACATTGTTGACTGTGTAGAGATCTTCAAAACACGTAGGCCCACTAATATGCAATAAAAGTAGGCGAAGGTAGTATCGCTCCCCTTCATCGGGGTTGGCAGAAACCATACGACCCCGCATTAATCCTTGTTTTCGATGATGCCAACGACGTGAGCTCGGATCCCACGTAAATTTTTTTGGAAAATCTCTATATTTTATCTCTCTCGCACTGGTATCTTCTTTATTTTTTAGAAAAAAAGCAGTCAACATTGATCTCCTATCTTTCTCCTTCTCAACAACGCTAGTCAGCGTATCATCCTCACTGAACCTAACCATCTGCTGATTTGGGAGATGCACCTGCAAAGCCATCACAAAAGGGTGGATCTGAGAAAGAGGGAAGCTAAAAATCCTCCACATGGCCTCTAGAGGTGAGACATATCGTGCATCCTGAAACCATTTTATCTCATTAACAGCGACAGGTTGTCCATCCGGATCAATATTGATAACTTGTTTGTCATGACCCTTGTAAATATACTTAAACACATATTTCACAGAGGTTATACTCGAGCAGACCTCAACATTCAAATGACAATTAAACATCATTAACAACTTTGGGTTATATGGGACAACCCATCTGTTATCCATCTTATTGCCCCGTACGTCCACCTCTATACCATTATCTCTCCTTCGGTAAACAGGATATGAGTCCTTTCCTTGTAACGTGGTTTCATTGAATTGCCGAGGGTATCTAAAACGACATTTCTTTTGCTCATTATTCATACAAGGACAGTCAGAGTTTAAGCCACCGCAAGGACCATGGATCATGTGTGAGACGACTAATTCGTGCATTTCAGGATACTTTTTTGGATCTGGAATTTCAGCACATACTATTTTGTCGTAATGGTCAGCGTTAGTAAGCTTGTATGGAGGTTTCATTATCAGGAGGAAATGTGCATGCGACAAACCACGTTTTTGAAACTCAATGACATAAACGTATGAACCCACCACGCCGAGGACGTGATTTGTGAAGAGTTGTTTCTTAAGATCCTCTAACTTAGCATGAAAAACTCTTGACACAAGGTCCGGTCGATCTTGAGACGTCTGCCAAGGGAGTAGCTCATTTTTTATCTCCGGCCAGTTTGGATTGCATGTCATTGTAAGGAAGATGCCAGGCTTCCCGTCATCTTGAACTAAAGTCATGGCGTCAAGAAATCTTCGCCGCATGTCACGGGGGCCTCCGATGAAACTTGCAGGCAACACAACACGTTGCCCTATCATATTTGATCGAACCTCACCGGCATTAACACAGTCCACAACACCTTGGTATAAATCTGCTCTTATTTTGGACTGGTTTTTTCTACAAAAATCCAAACGTGAAGTCTCAAGCTTGATGTAGATATCTACTACAAACTGCTGTAGTAATCTACCTCCCATCAAAATTACATTATAATTTGACCGGATTTGAAACTTATAGCAGTAGTACTCTCGCATAGATACAGTATCCCGCTCTTTTTTTGTATTAGAGTCTACATAATGTTGATGTCGTGAATAAAAAAAATAATTAATGACGTGTACAAAATGTAATGTTTGTTACTTTAAATAAGATTTATAAAGTTATGATATGTGTACCTTCTAAATCATCCCCGATGTCATCATCGTCATTAATAATATTATTGATGGGAATTCCATGTCTTGGAATATTAGAATGCCATCCCGACTCATCGTAAGGAAAAAACAAAGGATAAGACAATGGATCATAACATCCCCTATAAGATTGAATTGTTTTTGGTTTGTCGGATCTTGCATACACGATAATACTTCGTTTATATGCGGCTATGTTGTCATTACCTTCAACCCAAATACCAGCGACCTAATATTTTTATCATAGTAACAAAATGATTAAATACGGTGTGTAATATGCACACATTTATGTCATACATGATATTTTTATTTTATAATTAGCAAACATAATATTACGGTACCTCGGATGTGGTCGGTCGGTTGTAAACCCTTTGGTCAAGTTCTACTGACGCATTCAACGTGACTCTGTAATTGTCAAGCGGCCCTAGATCACCAAGTCTTCGAAATATTTGCACGTATGGGTTTGTAGCAAGAATACGAATCAACTTTTCAGCAATTCGTTTGTCAATATTCTTCCATTGTAGTCTATTTGACATCTCATAATCAGCATCATAAAAATACAACTGTATGTCTCGAGGTATTCCATCCCTTGGGATTAACTGATCGATTCTATGATACATTCCTCCATTCACACAAAAAGTGTATACTCCATATGTCATGTCGGTCATTGTTTTAGCAACATCGACGCCCATTGATGCAAATGAAAAGTTTGAGTTGTATGCACGTATCCTTTGTCTAAAGGTATTGCCTAATTCGTTTCTAGATGTGAAGAGATCGAGTAATTCATCGGGAATAGAAGAATGTGCCAATTTTGTCTTACCATCCATGCAACAAAAGGTAGGGAATTCAAATTGCAATCTTTTTGCTCCACAACGAACACATGCTTTCTGTACCTTCAACACACGATGTTTTTTAGGGACACCATCATAAACAAAGTTATATGGATCGTCTTGAAGAGTTTGCATAGATGTTCTCATTGGGTTTCGTTCCTTGCGTCTTTGATAGTCATTTCTGTTCCGAATCGAATTCCTTTGAGCTTCATCCAATACACTTGTAGGGGTTGCATTTGTAATATCAGTTAGGGCCCTCTGTACTGCAGACACATTCGTCTTATGTGTCACGTTTTGGCTACTTACTTCACCGTTAGCTATTCGTCTCATTTTGTTCTTCTCTTTTTGTCGTTCATAATATGTCTTATTATATGCTTTCCTTTTTTCTGCAATATTTTGTTTTGGATGAATTATGCGTAAAGATAATATAATAATCATATTGCACATCTGAAACATACCTTTTTGTGCATTTAAATCAAGTTGTATAGCATCATTAAGGCCTATTTTCCTTGTGTGCAATTACCATGACAACTGTAAAAACGTAAACAATAATAATATATAATTGTATTAGTTTCAGAACACATTTGTAATAAAAAACGAATTTTTTTATAAAATACTAACATATTAATCGAAAATTGATTGGTTTGAAGTAATTATTTATATGTGAGAGTGATCCTTACATTAAATTATATAGTTTTGTTTACAAGACTCGGAAGTAATGTTTTAACAGTTTTTGGGTATTGACTTACCGTGTCAACTTATAATTTGAATTTTGAATTGTTTTTTCATTGTATCGTTCTTTCATATTTCAATAAGTTTTTTTCAATAATTTGATAAATTCATTTTGATTGATTTTTATTTAGATAGTATTTGTAAATTCTATTTGGTAGAATATTTATTTTAATTAACATACAACAATATCAATATCCTATAAACAGAAATAACAAAATACAATCATATAAGAAAAGATTGTCAAACAAAGAAAGTAAAATTTATAAACTAAAAACGTACCAAAAATCCATATCACAAAATCCGCAAACAAATAAATACCAAAATAACTATAAAAACAAATAAAAATCTTAAATCCAGCAAACAAATAAATACCACATACGACACACACAAATAACCATGGAAAAATTAAAAATTTTCCCTATCTCTCATTCGAATCCTATCAGCTTCCGGCATTCTTGGATCTAACGTGACATCGGTTAATGCAGTTGAAACCAAAATATTATCTGTATGGACATGTATTATATAGTTAATAAGGTATACCGAAATAATTTATTTATAAATAATTGAAACTATATATAATGTTGCACAAAGTTAACTTACAAAAATTTTGGTGGACCAACTTGACCCTAGAGACATAAATTATGGATTGATTGACAATTGCGAGATACACTTGTATCATAAGGCTCATCGGTACGTGATTGAACATCAACTTTATTGTATGCCCCCTATTCATTTAAACAAAATTTTGTTAAAACACATAATAATAATAATAATGATAATAATAATATTAATATAATAATAATAATAATAATAATAATAATAATAATTGGTGAATACATTTAAATAATATACATTATAATCTTACATCTCATTTTGGATAAATAGTTCAAATGCATAGAATGACATCATTCGTCTTCCCCATACGATTTTTCCAACGACATCTACAATGCACCAAATTTAGTATTATTTAATTTGTCGTATGAAATATATATATATATATATATATATATATATATATATATATATCAAATATACAAATGTACCTATCAACATTCTTCGACGGCTAAAATCTCTTGTGAGGCTTGTGATAGAAGAACACAATGGATAAATTGGAAATGAATTGGCGATATCATTTCCCAAGAGAGTAAAAATTGTGTTACTCTTTATCAATATAGCCCACTCACCAAAGAAAATTTTATAATGTTGATATCTTGGGTGGTCTGTGTAAAAATGATCCATACGGAAATGATTTAAGGAGATAACGCGTCCAACCAAATTCATGTTGAAAATTGACCTCAAAACCCGGGGGACAATTGCGATCATTTTGTCTCTCTGAGATATGCAATATAATAACAATATGTGAATTATAAATAGAACATTAAACAAAATAATGACATATTTATTTTATTGTATTAATACTTACGTTGCGATCAATCAGCTAAATAAGAAGTCTTTCATGTTCAACATGGTCCCACACAAACAAAACTCGAACAGCTAGTATGTTCCACCATATGTGAACGTGTCGTAATGCAAAAAAATCTCGAACAGTAGTATGACCATCCATTACTAAAGTTTTCATGTCAGTATGGAATATTTTAAATATAACTAAAGTTTTCATGTCAGTACTAAAGTTTTCATGTCAGTATGGAATACAAATAGATATTGTTTTGTATAATTTAATTTAACCATATAAACATTTTTATAATTTTTTTATGTAATAATAAAAAAAAACATTCATTTTTATTTAAAAGCCTAAATTAATTTTATGTTTATGTGAAATATTTTAAATAATCACATTAAATTATTATATTTAATTTAATGTTAGAATAAAAAAAATTACGATATAATATGACAATCAAAAGTGTTTTTGCCTTAATACACATCTTTTAATTATTTTTTATATACATATTTTAACACAATGACACAAATACTTAACATAGTGCTGTTGTGTGATTTGTGAAGGCGGCATATTTACCTCCCGTTATTATTTCATTTTTTTAATAATAAAAATATAGGGTATTGTTATATAAGTGAAAAAACATTTGCTTCACTTCTATCCAAACCCTAAATTGCAAATACATTTCTTACAGCCGACATTTGCTCTACAACAGCAATTACCAGTTCGGAGTGGAGAAGGGAAGACCTTGTTGATGTCCGATCATCTGGATGTTCAAATCATTTCCGTCGCCCTCATCTATCTAAACCCTAGGTGTCGTTTCTACCACGACCAATACACCACCACCGCCTAAACACTTCATTCAACTTTGTCTAACAACTTCCTCTTTCTCTAGAATACCATCGAACTACCTCAAATTTGAGTTTTTTCGTTCTGATTTGGTACCCAAAACAGCTTCGCCTTCTCCGCTAGTCACAGCCATTAGCATAGATCTGGTAACATCTACTTTTTTTATATTCTATCTCTGGTTGTAAACTTTAATTGATTTGTCAATTTTGAACAATTTTGTTCGCAGTGGAGCAGGGAAGACCTTCTTGATGTCCGATCATCTGGATGTTCGAATCGTTTCCGTTGCCCTCATCTATCTAAACCCTAAAAGCCGTTTCTACCACGACCAATACACCACCACCGCCTAAACACTTCATTCATCATTGTCTAACCACTTCATTCATCATCTTCTACTTCATTGAATCTGTAGATGGTTTCCATTTTGCATCAGATCGAAGCCCTACAAGCTCACCGACCACCTTCTACTTCATTCATCATTGTTGTTGCTTCGACTAACACCGACTTCTATAGCTTTCACCATGACGGCTTCACTGACCATCTTCGCCTTCACCGCCACCACATAAGCACTGTGATATCTAAATCCCCACTACCACTTCTCCCTTCTCCGCCATCGGTGAAATTGAATCACTTTTATTCAGACTTTTGTTGTTGCTATTGTTTCTTTTTGTCGCTTCATTTTCTCAGGTTTCAACAAAGCAGAAGTCAGCACCAACTATTCCCCCCGCCCCCACCCCCCACCAGTACATAACTTCTTCTATAACTGATTGGTCACAAAACGATATTGAGGCTCATGACCTTGCTTCTATTTAGGCGTGTCAACAAACGATTCTGGTAAATATAAGGTTTTCAGCCTTTCAGGTATCACTTATTTCTCCACCCTCCCCTCTCCCTCTTTCTGTCTTAATCTCTCTGGTTTAAAAAAAACAGATACACATTCACCACAATTGGGTTTTTAAGTGTTTTGTTGGTTTAACATATGCTGAGGGTCGATGTGTACATCACCATCATCAATTACCAACAACACTGTATAAACCTTCCATCTTCAAAAGTACTTTGACATGGATCTATAATAAAGATTTACTCGAAAGTACATTGATATAATAAGCAATTATTGTTGACAATCATACAACCCAACAATAAACCAAAAATTCGGTTACAACTAAAAAAATAAACAAAAGTAGGATACTATAATAAGCAACCAAATCAAAGTATGATGATACAATAGGAACTAAATCAAACTATTTATGTTCAAAATGAAACTAAAAATCATCTACAAAAGACACTAAATCAAATTATATTTAGGTTATGTTCATGTCTTCATCCAATTTTCTGTATTTACCTAAGAGGAAGCCATAGTTGTCAACAATCATATAACGGCCATACTGCATCCACCAATTTAATTTTCCTTTATGTGTTTCCTCATTTACATGCATAGTGACTTCTTGTAACACTTGTAAAATTGGAATTTCTGTTGTACATTCATTTTCTGCAACTTTCTTTGCATTTGATGACTTATTGGACTGTCTCGGGACAGGTTGCATTTGGACAGTTGCATTGTGATTTGGAAGATCATAGCCCTCACCATTTTTGCACTCTTCACATAACCATCCATGTTTGTGAATTTCATTTGGCATTTTCTTCATACAATAAGTGTGTTCAGCGCCATCCATGCATCTACTACAAATAGCAAGTAAATGTTCATGCCCTACATCTCCACATATATCACACACAATGACATCGATAACAACTTCAACATCCATTTCTGAGTAGTTTTAATCTGCAAAAATTTCAAAAATTCTTTATGAAATTTTTTTTTCTTGAAGATTATTTTTTGTAATAAAGTGACATTAAACAATATTAAATTGCAAAATATGACATTAAAAATATTAAATTGCATAAAATGACAGGAATAACCCTTAAATTGCAAAAAAGCTGAGCATTTATAAAACACACACACACAACATTGAAGATACCTGATATTTGTTTTTTGTTTTGCACAGGAATATAAGTTGGATTGATGGCTGTTTCGTTACCTGTAAACACCAAAAACATACAACACACACACATCATTAAAGAGTATTGAGATAAGTTTTGGGTATTGTTAAAATGACAGAAATAACCCTTAAATTGCAAAAAAGCTGAGCATTTATAAAACACACACACACACAACATTGAAGATACCTGATATTTGTTTTTTGTTTTGCACAAGAATATAAGTTGGATTGATGGCTGTTTCGTTACCTGTAAACACCAAAAACACACAACACACACATCATTAAAGAGTATTGAGATAAGTTTTGGGTATTGTTGCTTTGGTAGATGTAAACAGAAACACACTCATGCACCATTAATT